TAGTAGCTCATCCTTTGGACCCCCAACATGACCACAGATGGTGGGCCAGGACTCAGGCATCCTTGAGCCCTTTGGTGACAAGAGAGGCCATGAACATCAACACATCCGGGCTACAGTAGGACCATAGACCTAGACATGGTCCTTGGCAGCATCCCTGGCTCAGATGTCACCATGGCTTCGGGTGTTAACAGGCCATTCATATCACCCCGTTCCTCACCACCTTCACCTCTTCAGATCTGTCTCTCTCTACAGGACATGAAACATTTTTTCCTCTTTCTCCCATACTCCACAATATATTTACTCATCACAATGGTGACCAACTGGTGCCTTGTGGTTTCTTCTCCCTGGCCAGAGCAAGCGGCCTCAGGAGAGAGAGAGAGAGAGAGAGAGAGAGAGAGAGAGAGAGAGAGAGAGAGAGAGAGAGAGAGAGAGAGAGAGAGAGAGAGAGAGAGAGAGAATGTCCTTCACCCACTTGTTTTTGTTTTTGTTTTGGTCTTGTTTGCTTAGCATGACATACTCCATTTCCACCCATTCTGCTTAAATGGCAAGTTCTCGTTCTTCTCATGGCTGCATAATACTCTGTAGATCCATTATCTGTTTATCTATTGACAGGCAGGCATGGGGATTCCATCAGCACCACGAAAATGACATGCAGGCTTGTCTTTCGAGTTCCGCCTTCATTTCCTTTAAACAGGCAGGAGAGGGACAACTTGATCACATGTTAAGTCTACCTACTTCCTTCCAAAATAGACCTATTGACTAATATTCTCATTAACAATATGTAAGGATTCCTATTTATCCACATCCTTGCCAGCACTGTTTTTTGATAGTAGCCATTCTAACTGGGGTCAGATAATATTTCATGTAATTTTGATTATTATTTCCCTGGTGACTGATGATAGTGAGTACTTCAGATACTTATTGAATATTTATAATTCTTCTTTTAAGACATGTCTAAATCCTCACGATTGCTATCTCAATTTACCCAGAGATTTGGTTTCTAAAGACTCTTTATCCTAATTCCCAGTGAGAACTAACACTAGACATGATAGCTGAAATTCTACCAGGAAGTCAGTCCTCAGGGAAGGTGGCAAGCCTGCTGAATACAAGAAAGCCATAGTTCCATCGGTGTAATATTCACCAAAGGAATATGAGAATACTTTCTTCTGGAGAATCTGTTACTCTTCCAAATGCATAACAACATGCTTTTGGATTTTCTTTTCTTCAGTAATCTTGAATAACAGTTGAATAAACAACTGTTTATTATATGTTAATGTAGTCATTAGCACAATTGACCTAATGTATGTTCTGTTTATTCTTTTGGTCTAGATTTGTATTTCACATTAACAAGTAGTTAACAGTCTAACTTCAAAGAATTCCCTTAATCTTTTAGAACTTTCAACTTCTTTATCTTAAAGGGGAGAAAGCTATTAATAGGATACAGAACTGTGGTGCCACAGATACTATTTATATGTACATTATATATATATACATTATGTACATACATATGTACATATTTATATGTACATTAAGTCAACAAACAGTAAGATTCTTTGATTCTTATATGTCCTGGCCTATACAGAAGCACTGTTCAGCAAACATTATATTCCAAAAATATCATAGTATTATTGACACAATTAACTGAATTGAGACTTGTCACTTGTTAGTTTCTTTGACTTATGTATTTATTTATTTAGTGTGTTTGTAGTAGTAAGGATTGAATCTAGGGTCTTGCACATGTTCAGCTAGCTCTCCACCACTGAACTATATATCAAATTACTTTTGAGACAGTCTTGTTAAGCTCCAAGACCAGTCATGAACCCCCTTTATATTCGAGGCAGGCCTCGAACTTGTAATCCTCCTGCCTTGGCCTCCCAAGTATCTGAATTGACAGGTCTGCACCATGAGTCCTGGACTTTTATTTGTTTTAAAGATTTTCGGCCATTATATTACAGCTAGGAAGTCAAGAACCAAAATATGTTCTAGAACCTAGAAGATGACACTCATATACACACATGTGAGCACATCTACACACACACTTGAACGCAGACATGGAAATGACATTCATATATACATGTGCACACCTACACACATACACTTGAACACAGATGTAGGCGTAGCCCACAATACTGTCCACACCCCAAATATTGTGGGCTCACCCCTACACACAGATATACAAATGTTTTCAAATTCAGATACAGCAAAGATTTCAATAACTAAATTCAACAGCTAGCTTATGAACTTGATATAGCTTATGCCTTTAAGTAGGTAAACAGACAATCAGCCAAGGAAACTAGAAATTAAATTAAGGAAAGCAATTTGTAATGAAGGCAGAAGTGTTCCAAGGAATGGGTGGAGGAGAGGGTGGTATTACCAGAATCACCTGTGCACAAGGTCTTTCCCTTTTGGCATTTTGGTGTATGAACGACCTTGAGAAGAAATAAGACTAAAGAGAAAAATCTTTCATTGCTTGAGACTCTGTGAAATATTATAGGAATTGACCTATCATGAGATGTACTGATAAATATTTTTAATATATGCATTGCCTGTATTTTATTTTATTTTATTTCTAGGGTTTTCATGTGTATGAGTATTCTCTCTCTCTCTCTGTCTCTCTCTCTGTCTCTCTGTCTCTCTGTCTCTCTCTCTCTCTCGTGTGTGTGTGTGTGTGTGTGTGTGTGTGTGTGTGTGTGTGTGTGTGTGTGATATGTGCCTGGTGTTCATGTAAACCAGAAGACCATTCAGAAACCCTGGAACTGAGTCACATGCTGTTGTAAGTCCCCATGTGGGTTCTGGGGAAGATTCTGGGTTCTCTTCAAGAACAGCAAAGAGCTCTTAACTACTGAGTCATTTCTCCAGCCCCCACTACCTGTAAAATCTCATGTTTATTTATATTATGAAAAATGTATTTGTCCTAAGTAGAAGAAATAGACATTGCTGAAAGTTAACGATAGACAAGTTTCACATATTTTGTTGAGAGCAGGCAAGAGCAAATTTAAAGAGAGAAAATATTTCACCTATCACAGTGCCTACCATTTCCAACTTTATCCTGTACATATAGTGGGAAAGTGGGGGATCATTCTACATAGGTACTTTTAATATCATTTACTATCTTTTTGCATGATCAGGACAGATTTTACATACAAACACATACTATTTATATTTTATGATCTCTGGAAATTTAAAAATCTCTCACATTTAACATCTACTCACTTCGTTACTACGTCAGGTACAGAATTGACAACTTGGGGCAGGAAAGACACTGGAGAGTAAAAGCAACAAAATAGAGCTTAAAATATGTAGACAAAGACTTGCATTGACTGCTCTATGCCAAAGGAACACAGAAGCCAATTAAAAGCTTCCAGTAGCCACAGTTGAAACAACTTGAACAAAAAAATTGTATTATAGCCCTAAGGATAAAATAAAGATATACAGTTATAAACTGATGTAAATAAATAAATAAATGAAGTTAACAAATCTTCCAGGCAGGAAGGTTTCAAACAATTTATGTGAGTCCTTCTCCTTTGACAAGGAGGTGCATAAATCATTCCTCAAATATGAACTCTCACAGATTTCTGTCAAACAGTCAATAAGAAAGCGAGGGGGGAAACCAGTAGATTTTATCATGGAGAAACCTGGTAAACACTACCCCAGACAAATGGCCAAGGTCAACATTAGCAGTGATAAATCATCCTGATAGTATGTACCCTTGATTTGAGATCACAGCAATAACACTTCACCTCTGTGGTCGTTCTCCAAGTTGCTCAAAACCCCATGAGAAAAACAGCAGCCTAATTCTAACAGATAAGCATTTCTTAGAATGCCTGCCAATATTACCTAAACTGTTAAGCTTATCAAAAACAAAAGAAGCCAGAAAAACTGTCACCACCAAGAATAAACTAAAACATGGCAGCTAAATGCATTATGGTACCCTAAATGGAATCCAGAACAGAAAGGTGATATAACATATAACGTAAGGAAATTCCAACAAAATAGAGCCTTAGTTAATAATTATGTGGCAGCATTAGTTAATTAACTCTTAAAAAATTTACAATACCAATGAAATGAATTGTATTGGGCAGTGTTCTCTAGAGAAGCAGAACGAGTGGAGTGTATGTAACTGTATCATTGAAAAGGATTATTAGATTGGCTTACAACCTAGAGTCAGGGTAGTTCAACAATTATCATGAATGCTCGAGAGCAGGAAGCAAAGGACTCTGTTCAGTCCAAAAAGCTAGATATCTCAGCAGTCCCAACTCAGCTGTGAAAGCCTGAGAGGTCACCAGCATTGAGTCCAGATTTTAAGACTTCTTCCTTCACCCTCGCCAAGCAACATTCCTTCATGTAACTGACTTGTGCCTTTAGGTCCTGCTAAGCCCAGGTCACATACACCACTCCCACTTGACGATGGGTTGCTTCTGTGCATAACCACCTTATTGTCTGGTGCATCAGGTAAAACTCAGATCGCGATGACAATCTCAGAGGGCGACTTGCTAGCTGCGCTAGTTAGTGTTTGTCAGGTGACACACTATACTCACTTGGGAAGAGGGAACTTCAAATGAAGAATCGCCTCCATTGGATTTGCTTATGGACACATTTGCCGGGCATTTTCTTGATTAGAGATTGTTGTAGGAAGGCCCCTGCCCACTGTGAGCTATGTCATCCTTGGCCATGTGGCTCTGGGTCGTGAATGGAAGCCAACAGAGCAAGCCATGGATAGCAAGTCAGAAAGCAGACTTCCTCCATAGTCTCTGCCTCACTTCCTGCTTCCAGTTCCAGCTTGAATTCCTCCTGTGGTTTCCCTCGGTGATGGATAATGACGTAGAATAGTAAGCCAAATAAACCATTTCTTCCCCGAGTAGTCTTTGATGACTGTTTTCAAAGCAACAGAAAAGCAAGCAAGTACAGAAACTGATGTCAGAAAGTGGAGTATTTGCTGGGGTACACCTGACCATGGAAAGGTTTATATGAAGGAATGTTCACAGACATACAAACACACGTAGACATAAATTTTTAATTAAAAAACTTTTAAAGATACGGCTACATGTCTTGTATTACTGGACGCCTAGGAATTATACTGATATAGAAGGCCACTGTTTTTTTTTATTATTGCTGTCATTGGGCTTACTTCCTATGGTCTGTGACATAAACATTTCATCAACAAATCCAAAATGATTGGTTTAACAGCATAATATCATCAATGTAGCAAACCAGTGTGAAACCTTATGAAAGAGACCTGTGATTGATACCCCTCAGATCTAACTTATGGCAAAGGACTGGAGAGCTAAAATAGCCCTGAGGTGGGACAATAAAGGTATATTACTGGCCTTTCCAGGTGCAAACAGATTGCTTCCTGGAGGATTTACAGACATAAGTGGAGCAGGCAAGTATTTGCTAGATCAATAGCTATATACCAGGTGTCAGGAAGTGTTTAATCTGCTGAAAAACAAGCAAGAAACAACAACAATGACAACAAACCACATCTGATACAGTACTTGCAATAAAAATCACTGCTGAATTAAGTTTACAATAATCAACTTTCATTATTCAAGAACTATAAGTGTTCCGTATGGATCAAGTTGAGTAAAATTCATTCCTTTTTTCATCACTGTGACAAAATACCTGAAAAAAGAACTAAAGGTTGAAGAAGTCATATGGGATCACATTTCAGGGGCTACGGTTTGTCACATGAATAAGGTATAGTGACAATAACTTCTAGCTTTGACAGATGAGCATGTGATAGCTGTTAAATCATACTGGAAGCATGGACATTCAGCTGCAGTCACAGGCCTGGGATCAGCTCAGCAATGCTTGAAGAACCATGCTATCTGGGGACCAGCAAGTCAGAGTTGGCCTCTTGGCACTGCAAAGACATCCCGAGAGAAGTCATTTCAGGCAGACGCCCAGCACGTTCTCAGAAGGGTGAAGCCTTCATGTGGACCGCAATGCTACAACTTCCTGCCTGTGGGTCATGAAAAGCTGTAGGAAGGATAAACAAATATAGTAATGTGGCAGGATACAGAACAGAATCAAATTGCACAAATAAATATCTTTTCTGTGCACTAACAACACACATACACACATACAGAGAGAGAGAGAGAGACAAAAAGACAGAGAGAAAGAGATCATAGACACACTCCCATTCACAATAAACCATAAATATAAATAAAACATCTAGGAATAACCAAGAAAGTGAAGGGCTTTAAACTTTAAACTTCTGAAAGAGATGGAGAAAGACACTGGAAAGCTGAAAAACATCCCATAATCATGGATTGGTAGAATTTTGGGGAAGGGGGTTTGAGACAGGGTTTCTCTGAGGCTTTGGAGGCTGTCCTGGAACTAACTAGTTCTTGTAGACCAAGCTGGTCTTGAACTCACAGAGATCAGCCTAACTCTGCCTCCCAAGTGCTGGGATGAAGGCGTGTGCCACCCGACTGGCCCAGATTGGTAGAATTAATATTGTGAAAATGACCATTTTACCAAGAATTATTTACAAACAAAATCTCCACAACATTCTTAATGGAAATAGGAAAAAAAATCCTAAAGTTCATATGGAACCATAGAAGACTGACCTAACCAAAACAATCCTAAATAAATAAATAAGAAAAATTCTGGAGGGATTTCCATTCCAGATTCTAAGATATATTACAGAGCTACAGTAATAGAAACAGGGTACTAGCCCCAAAACAGACATGCAATCTCATAGAATAAAATGAAAAATCAAAATGAGTACATGGAACTTCAGCCATTCAGTATTTGACAAAGATACCAACAAAATATATTGGAGAAAAGAAAGCATCCTTTAAAAATGGTTCTAAGAAAATTAGATGTCCACAGGCAGAAGAATAAAATTAGACTTGTGTCTATCACCTTGCACAAAAAGTAACTCTAGATGGATCAAAGACTGAAACATTAAATATTGAAACTTTGAGAAGAAAACATGCAGTATTCTACATGGTATAGTTGTAGGAAAAGACTTCCTGAATATGACTCCATTTGCCCAGGGATTAAGGCCAACAATTGGCAGGTGGAACTTTGTAGAACTAAAAGGCTTCTACACAACTAAAGAAACAACTGGGTAATGAGGAAGCCCACACAATGGGGGAGAATCTTTGTCAGTCACACATCTGGCAGAGGAATAATATTTATAATATTAAAGAACTCAAACAACAGCAAAAAATTATCCATTTAAAAAATGGTCCTGGGATCTGAACAGAGAATGCTTCAAAGAAGTGTGTGTGTGTGTGTGTGTGTGTGTGTGTGTGTGTGTGACAATCAATGAAAAAAAGTGGCCATGAGTTAAAAGAGAGTAAGGAGGGGTATATGGGAAGGTTGGAAGGTAGGAAAAAGGAGGAGATAATATTTATAATACCAAAAATTAAAAGAAATAATAAAAAGGGGGAATCAGATTCACATACTTGACTTTATTCTTTTCCATTTTTTATTCAGTCTGAGACTCAAGCCAATGGGACACCACTCCCATTGAGGGCCAGTCATCTGTCAATCTTCACATCACAACAGACAATTCATAGGTGTGACTCACTAACACCTAAGTGTTTCTTAATTTAGCAGAGTTGATGCTCAAAACTAACCATCACAGAGCCATACCTTGTCAACCTGACACCCAAATACATCAGTTTAGCTCTCACTATTTACCCCTGGTCTCACAAAAGCAAATGTCCCTCTCACAATGCAATGTGAATTTGTTCCATCTCTCAGAGTCCCCAAAATCCTTAACAGTTCCAATATTGTTCTAAAGTCTGAAGTGCCAAGTGTTTCATATCAGTCTTGACTGTATGTAAGACCAAAATGCAAATTATAAACTTCCAGTATTTGATGGTGAAGAGGAAACACTCCCATTACAAAAAAAAAAAAAGCAATGAAGCATAGCAAGAAAAATAGAACTGACTCAAGACAAACCCTCAGCAAAACAAGCATCAAATTCTGCTGGTATGTGTCTGGAATTTGTGGGTTTAGGAATACATCATAGGTAGCCCCACCTATCCAACTCGATAGCCAGCCGCACAAGCATCCTCTTTCTTGAGCCAGCTCTACTCCACTTGGTGCCTGAAGCTTTCTTTGGTGGACATAACATATTATAAAAACCCCAATAATAACAGATGTTAATAATAATGATACCAAAGTATGCGTTTATCAGAATCCTGTAAACTATCTTCTTAATTTTTTTAAAGATTCAAACTATCTTTAGAATAACTTTTTAGAAGAACCAAGAGATGCCTAGGAGATATTTGAGAAGATAGCGATTTCTATACATTTTTTACATTTCAAAATGTAAAAAGGTGTTGGTGGCACACGCCTTTAATCCCAGCACTCAGGAGGCAGAGGCAGGCGGATCTCTGTAAGTTCGAGACCAGCCTGGTCTACAAGAGCTAGCTCCAGGACAGCCTCCAAAGCCACAGAGAAACCCTGTCTCGAAAAACCAAAACAACAAAACAAAAACAAAATAGGATATTTTCTAAGTCCCTTATTAGGAAAATTTCTAAACTTTGGGAAAAATCAAAGAATTTTTTGGGGGTTTGTTGCTATCATTTTGCTTATTTGTTTTGCTTGGGGTTTGTTTGTTTGTTGTAGTAGATGGTTACTCCATATACCCATAGCCAGTTAAAGGTAAAACAATGGACAGTGGAGTGCTCAGTGCTAATCGAGTCATCTATATCACCTCTCCAATACTAGGGAGCATCAAGGAAGAAGTGATAGAAAGAATGGGAAGGCGCTAGGCTGGAGAAGCATAGTGCAAGAAGATTCATAAACTCACTACAGTATGGTTACCAGCATTGGACCTGCACAAGATTGGGCGTGCCGATATTGCATCGTGGAAGAGGAAAAGGTTCACGATGCCCCACCCCTCCCTGAGGGACTGCTGATGATTATGTTTGTTGTGGGAAGAGATGTCACCCTCTTCTGTGCTACACCCACTGGGAAGTTGCTCACACTCCAGTAAATAACCTCCCCTACATGTTTATGCCAGCAACCACAATGGAACCCAGTGGGGCACGCACACACACACACACACACACACACACACACACACACACACACACACATACACACACACACACACACGCAAATGAAAGTGGGAGGGGACTTGGTGGGAAGAAAAAAGGATAAAAAAGGGTAATGACGACTGAACTTGACTGAAGTTCATTACATGCCTGTGTGTGTGTGTGTGTATTTACATGAAATTGTCAAAAAACAAAAGTCTTAGATACACATTAATAACAAATGAACTATTTAAATTTGGAAAAATCATGCATGTGGTCTATGTGAGGTGATTCTCTTGTGTGGTTATTTTATACACACATACACATCTGGCTCTATACAATAGAGGATCTATTTGTTTCAGGAGACAATGCTAGTGAGCGACAAATATATATGTCCAACGTATGTAATGAGGGCCTTTAAAATGTTGTTCATGTGTGACTCTAACGTTCTATCATAGGGATTTACAAACTACTTGTGTAAACGGCCAGAGAGTAAATATTTTAGTTTTGTGAGGCTGCATAGCCTCTGTTGAAAACACCCACTCAGCTGAGTTTGCAAATATGTAAGTGTAGCTGTGCTCCAGAAAAACAGGCAAGAGGCCAAGTTGGACCACTGAGTCATATGTTCAATCTCAGAATAGAGTAACAAAAGCCAAAGAAAATGAAGAAAACAGAATTACACATACTGTATGTTCTTAACTACACAAAAGTATTGTAGAAAAAAAACGCTACAGGAAAAAAGTTAAGTAACAGTATCTTTTCATTTAATAAAAGACTTTTTTCAGCCTTCATTTTTCCTGCACTTACACTTTTGAATGTATTATAAGTTAGGAGGTGGTCACAGCTACCAGGGAGGTGGAGTCAGCTTGAACAACATGCAGGGCCCTGTCATTAGCAATAGTAATACAAGGAATGTAAAGGGAAACAAGAGGAAGGATGGGAGGAAAGTAAAGGAGTGGAGGGGAAAAGAAACATATCTGTGCTGTTGTGAGGAAGCCAGAGATTCCCCGGCCCACTTAAGGTTGAAAGTACTCTAATGGCGTATTTATGTCAATTCAGGAAAACACTTGTTACCTCCTTTCAGGTTCTCATTTTTTAAAAATAGGCATATTTAACATTCAGAAATGGCATTTTGGAATAGTTTTTTTTAATCAACTCCGATTGTTTGTGATTAGGAAAGCGCTTCAGTTTGTCCACAGCTCTGGGACTTCTCCGTGAAGCTCCCCCAAAGCCACAGGACTGGAAAATGTGGCTGCCTTTTCTAAAGCTCTTTTTAATGACTCATGTTCTTAATAGCCTCTGTTCGAGTGACAAAAGAACCACTGTTGTTAGGAGGGATGTGCAGTACATTACCCAAGTTTACCCTGGCAAGCCACGGGGGCTGAGCTGCAAGCCTGTGTCAGCACTTTTAGGTCCCACTAATAGGAATACAGATGGACACATGAGCCGCTGGGGCATCTCACAGGGCCAATGAAAACACGGAAAACAAAGGCCTTTATCAGATCCATGCTGACCACAGCTCCCTATGGTGTTGCTACAGTCATATTCCTCTCTTAACTTTCCATATACAAAATACCTCTCACCTGAGAGAAACCAGATTTCACTGACAGCCTCGGGTCCAAGTTCGTTGTTTTGCTGAGTATGTAATTACCCCCCTGCGAAAAGGGAAAGCGAAGCCGTTTTCAGTCTTTCTCTAGGAACTTAAAAACAACCCAATAGTTTTGAACACACTGGATGCAAAAAAAAGACAAGGGCAACAACTGGGCTGATACTGAGGGAGTGTGGGAAAATGCAAGTGTTGTCTGAGACTCTTCCAGGAGAGAAACTTCTTTTCCTGCAGCATGCACTCATCTTTACTGTTACTAAACGAGCCTTCCTCGTGTACCATAAAGGTGACCACCTTCTTGTCTCCAGTCCACACTATCTCCCTCAGAAGGACACCACGCTCTTCTAATAAGAGGTGTCTATTCCCAGTTTAACTTCTTTTTGTCTGTAATGGAAATATGCTCTTGCTGAAGGAGAGGTGTGTGTGTGTGTAACACTTTGTGGAATATTTACTAGAAACAAATAATAATTTAGCTGAAAAACTGGACGACCAGTGTGACTGTGTATGCTCTATTTCTAACTCTGACTCTACTGCACTAGAAAAACCTCTCCTGCTTTTAGGGTGTAGGATAATCACACCAAATCTCAATAACTGATGTGAGCAGACACTCATTTTCCCCCACAGTCTATGTATTTGCTATGTAAGGCCTCGCAGCAATCAGACTTTCGGGTTGGGTTCTCTCTGGGTCCTGCAGTTATTTGGGACTCCGGATGGAACATAGGGAGGAGAGAAGAGATGGGTAAGATTAAAGCTTCAGCTGGGCACCGGCATGAAGTCACTTCTGCTGCTTTTTACCAACAATATAGCAGGATGAGGAGGAAAAGAAGAGGTGTGGGGAAATCACTCTATTATATTAAATAAGTAAGATTCATTGTGTTTCAATTTCTAAAGAGAGAAAAAGATAATTCTAAATCATCCAGGATCAAGGCTCTTGTGATGAGTAATGACTTTAACATTTTTGAAAACATCTATCTAGTTATGGCTGGGGACTACATGTCCCATAGTATGTAAATAGAGGAGGTCAGAGGATAACATATGGGATTTGGTCCTCTCCTACCATGTAGATCCCCTGGCAGTTCACCAGCTCAGGAGAATGGTTTTTGAAATGCACATTGTTGAACTAAAATTCAGCTTGACCAAGGGTTCAGCTTGCATAGGCATTAAATAATGGCTTAAAATCAAGTCATTTTTTCCTCACAGATAGAGACTACAAATAAAGTACTATATGATCGCTGTCCTGACTGTATATAAAGCATCCTAGGAAGTAATAGGCTGAGTTATCCCAAGTAACAGTGTAAAGCATCCAAATATTGTAATGATTTTTAAATACTTTTAAAGTGTAGAAAAGCAAGAGCAGGAAAAGCAAGGCTGGTTTTCAGAGGCCACAGTGTGTGAGAAAAAAGACTAGAACATAGTAAGACGGTTGACACTCCCAGGACTTTAGAAGTTGGATTGCTAAAATCTGAGAAATTGTCACAGAGTTGGCAATAAAGACATTGAAGTGTTTTCACTATTGCTGCTTTCTGGAGGGGATCTATCTATTCAGCCTGTCTCATAGCTCCGGTGATCACCATCAAAATGCTTGACATTCCCTGGCTGACTGGAATATCATGCCAATCTCTTCCTTCATTGTCACAAGGCTTTCTCTTTGTGTGTCCTTGTGCCTTCGTGTGATCATCCCCCCACTGTGTCTCTGTGTTCAAGTTTCCCCTACCTGCAAAGGTAATATAACTAACTGGGATAAGGGTCCATGCTACTCTGGTATGAACTCAGCTTAATTTGACTAATAACAATTGCAACAACCGTTTTTCCAACTGAAGACAGGTTTTTTTGAGGTACTGAGAATAAGGACTTCAATGGATCATTGGAGAAAATACACTGCAAGCCATTAAGAGGAGCCAAGATATTGCTATTGTTGTTTGCTTATTATTATTATCAAATGTTCAAATTTGCTTTAAATTCATAGGGAGAGCATCATGCACCGCTAACCTCCTACAGTGCTCCTTGGGGAGGTAAAGGCTTCACTCCTTTTGCAGAAGAAGGGTGGACTCTCTGCTTCTTTCATCTTACCATTTAAGCACCCACCCAGGTCTGTCCACACCATGCTCATCTCAAACTGCGTGGCTCACTCCCATGCGCCCTATGGTGCCTTGTAGCACCATTTCATTACCCAGAGGGAAAGTCCTTCCAGTTCCTACCACAAATCCCCAGGTTGCTGCTTTGCCTTAGGGCTACCTTTTTTATTTTTAATTTAAATTAGAAACAATCTTATTTTACATATCAATCCCAGTTCCCTCTTCCCTCCCATCCTCCTATGACCCTCATTGACCCCTCATCCCATGCTTTTCTGATCCCCAGGGAGGGTGAGGCCTTCCATGGGGGGATCACCAAAGGCTGCCACATCATTTGGGACAGGATGTAGGCCCTCCCCCATGTGTCTAGGCTGACAGAGTATCTTGGGGCTGCCTTTTAATCCCTAGACCTCCCAACCTCTATTTGAACAATACAATATGGCACCAGCGGTCTGCTTCACTTTTCCAAATTTGTTTTTCAAACATTATCTCTACTTCAGTCTTAAAAGTGACTGGCTGGCCAATCTCTTACTCTTGTCAAGTAGCTTTTCGTCCCTCGAAGTGTCCAATTTGGTTCTTGCCAGCTTCCCTTTCCTTCATCTCAGATCACCCTCCATTACTAGCTATATCCATTGGATCTTGAACTAGACCATGACCTTTCTGTATTGTGGTCCCTTGCAACTGATCCTTGACAGAGGCTCTAGAATATTCTTGCAGGTACTGGAATATCAACTCTTCTCCCCAGATCTTCCTGACTTGACACGCTGTATGCAGAATACAGCAGCTCCTGTTCCTTAGATGACAACTACACAATGGACCACAGCTGTCTCTTAAATCCTGCCTGTGACGATGATTCTGTTCTGTTTGTGTCTTAACTATGTCTCCCCTCTAGATCTTTCTTCCAATTTTAGCCCCTTCTTGCTTGGCATGACTATAAACATGAAAGGGTATTTAGCATGAACCCGTGTTAACATCTATAACCTGAGCTATATTTGTTAACCATGTTAACCTGTGTAATGTTCTATTAGTAGCTACAGAACTCAGAGGTTATTTTCCCCATATAGAGCAGAGATCTTATACATCAACCACTGAGATTTGTGTGTTTACCACCGACAGTGTGTACATGAACAGTATCTTTAAAGTTTTAGCTTTGTGAACTTTTTAACAATTTTAGGCACAAACGAAATCATTTCTACAATTCACAGTGGGCATGCCTTGAAGACACATCATGCTAAACCAGTATCAGTGTCCATAGGGCATTTAAGAAAAGCTACTGAAGATTGCCTAGATTCTTCCCATGCTCTGGATACCATTGTCTCTCAGAATGTGGAACAGGCTAGACATCTTGAAATTGTTCTTACACTGGTGTAAAAGATTGACCCAATCTTTTTAATAATCATTATTTGTTTAACAAGTTCCTGTGAGGAAAGTTATGCAGCTATCTTGTGAAGTGGCCTCTCAAAGGCTTTTATTTTGTCTAGCTATGATAAGAATCACTACATGGTGTGTCTAACTGATGGCTTAGAGCTCAGATGCAGCATAGCAATGTCTATGGGAAAAAGAATGAGACAGTAAATACCAATGACTTAATACACATTATGTTTCTAATTCAATTTGCTTTGATAAAAATCAAATAATCCCCAGGAACACAAATATTTGTCCACAGTGATTGGATAGTCTTCTAAAATTGGCCTTCTCCGGGCCTCAGAAAGTCATTTGTCCTTTATACAACCCACAGATTGTCAAGAGGTGAACAATGCTGAGAAATTCCTGCGGTGTTCTTAGTTTCTGTGCTATCTAGAAGAGAAACATCAGGATCCCCACATTTCTTTTAAATGTAGCATGCCTTTTACTCACTGCCTCTGTCTTAATAAATAAGACAAAACAGATTCTTGACCCCTAAAAGCACTATAAATTCATAACATTTTTCCTTTGAAGTAAAAATGCCTTACACGACTGCAGTGAAACATGAAAACAATTCATAGGGTCAGGAGACTTGATAATCAAAAACGGAAAACTTTGTCCTTGTAGAATGAGCTAAAAATTTCAAAGTAAACATGTATTAATAAAGAGTTGGTAACTTGGTTTTTATTTAATATAATGTTTTTATATTTTAGAATATATTTTAAAATATGAATTAACTCTAAATATATGTAACATTGTTATGTACATATATTAGCTCTATTGAGATTTTTTAAGTATCCCATTTTATCTTAGTATCAAGTTTCCTAACATGAGGACAGAATGTACCTTTAAAAAAAACTAGGTTATCTACTCCAATAAAGTCATAGCAAATAAAACATTTATCAAATGTGCCATGTATATGATAAATTATAAAACATCACAGGATTGAGGGCCTAGGCCCTGCTCCAAATGATATGATAGGCTTTGAAGATCCTCCATGGAAGGCCTCACCCTCCCTGGGAAGGGGAAAGGGAATGGGATAGGAGGTTGGTGGGGAGCAAGGGAGGAAGAGAGGGAAAGGGAACTGGGATTGACATGTAGAACAAGCTTGTTTCTAATTTAAATTTTAAAAGGTGGGGACAGAAGATTAAATAACTAAAGCATATTCAAGGTAAAAAACCAAGCACACTTGATTTCTCGTTAGAGTTCAGAAAAAAGAGGACTTATGATTAGCAAGATATGGAAATTAGTGTTCCTTCCCCCAAAGCAGGGATCACTTCCCTCAACCAGCCTCAGGTGTTTAGAGAGAAAAATGTCATGAGAAAGAAGCATCACACTTCATGCTGAGGAAGGGAACCCGATTTTAATGTATCTGGAAGATGAGTCTCTCAAAATCTATGAGTTATACAGATCCCAGTAGTCACTGTAATAAACCTGTTGCTACCTACCACAGGGCACTGCAATGAAATGCCACTTGTGTTAAGGCTTAGAGTAATATTCCTCTCATTACCCTACAACTGCTTATGTATATACTTGAATTTCTCCCATTACCTTTGTCTACCTAGTTCACTGC